AAGAGGAATACAGCACTAGCCAACAGCAATACTTCTGGCTGAGATGACAGTTTTTCCTGTAAGACAGTACTAGGAATCACAATGTTGCCAAAGTCATAGAATCATAGAATGGTTTGGGTCAGAAGAGATCTTAAAGATGGGCAGGGATGCCATCCACCTGAGCAGCTCAAAGCTCCACCCTACCCGGCCTTGAACACTTTCAGGGATGGGGCATCCACAGCTTCTCTGAGCAATCTGTGCCAGTGCCTCACCACTCTCACAGTAAAAAATTTAACCTAAACCTCTCCTCTTTAGTTTAAAACTGTTCTCCCTTGTCTTATCACTGTCTGTCCATGCAAAAAGTCATTCTCCCTCTTTCTTATAAGCCCCCCATTAGGAACTAGAAGGCTGCTCTAAAGTCCTTCTGGAGCCTTCTCTTTTCCAGGCTTAGCAGCCCCAACTCCCACAGCCTGTCTTCATAGCAGAAGTTTTCCAGTCCTCTGATAAATCTTTATGGCCTCCTCTGATTTTTACAGGTCCACGTCTTTCTTGTGCTGGGTGCCCCAGAGCTGGATGCAGCATTGCAGTGGGGTCTCATCAGAGCACAGCAGAGGGGCAGAATCCCCTTCCTTGACCTGCTTTGGATGCAGCCCAGAACATGGTTGGCTTTTTGGGCTGCGAGCACATGGTGCTGGCTCATGTCCAGCCTTTCATCCACCACCATTCCCAAGTGCTTCTCCACAGGGCTGCTCTCATGCCTGGGATTCCCCTGACCTTGCAGCACCATGTACTAGGACTTGTTGATCCTCACTAGGTTCTCACAGACTCACTTCTCAAGTTTGTCCAGGTCCTCTTGTGTCAATGGCACCACTTGACTTCATGTCCTCTGCAAACATGCTGAGGGTGCACTTGATCTCACTGACTATTTAATTGAAAAAGGTCTCTACTTTTCAATAAATAAATAAAACATGGTCCCTACTTTCTTTGGGGTAGGCAGCAGTTAAAATAAGGGGACCATTTATTAAAATGGCCCTGCAATTTAGGTTCTCTGTTACCTCTTCTCGTTTTGTGAAAAAAATCACTTAATGTAAGTCATTGACAGATATGTGATGGAGGCACTACAGCACCTTTTCCCTGAGAAGAATGGGCTAGATTTACCTCTACTCTTTCATTAGCCTGCCCCCACCACAATTACATGTTGACACCACGCAAAGTGAACAGAATAGTTTGAATACTAAATAAATTGCTGGAGGTTTCACTGAACTGCTATTAGAAGCTGTCAAAAAAACAAACAAAACATTGTTATTTTCCATCAAGTTTTTATACAGCCTAAAGCCATAATGCCACTATATAAAAATCAATGCCTAGCCCTGCTTAAGAACAGTGTTCTGCTCTAATCAAGCTCTCTCTTATACACAGTTTCAAGTATTTGAGGAACATTAATGAAAATATTAGGTCTACGATTACAAGGTATTTCTGAGGCATGGACTGCTTGGAAAAAGACATCAGGAGCTTTGGCTATACAAAGGGGGAATTCACATACTTACTCTTAAATAACAACTAGGAGCATCCCCAAGAGCACGTAAGGTTGTTAAAGGGCACTGCTTTTGCACAATTAAGATCCTCCTATCGCTCTAGGCAGGGTAACACAAATTTCAGTAACAGCAGAAGACCTCAGAAAAGCAGTGGCTTGGAGGAAGACACCCCACTGGGAACAGGTTATTTCACTGTCTCTTGCAGGGGTCTGCAGGGCCCCTTTGCCCTGTTCTAGCCTTATCCTTCCTCCCAGTGTGGAAGTGGTTGGGCCACGCAATGTTCCATCCCACTGAGCACTTCCATGGTAGCTGTGGCCCACAGGATGAAGGAGGAGTTATTTCTGACCACAACTAGTGTCAAAGATAATTTCAGAAGAGGATTGGTTGGACAGTAGAAGAGTTTTAATACTAAAGGACACAGGTAAGTGGGAGCTACTGTATTGCAAACACAGCACAGAAGAGCTGAGTCATTTCTGAGAATGTTGAATAAAAATTCCCAGAAATCAACAATTTCCCAGTACCTCAAACAAAACAGCATCATTTTCTTCCTGTGTATTAACTATTTTTAGGTTAAGAATTACTACCAATTGACAAAGTGAAGTACATTTTAGTAAATACAGGCCTATATCAAACATGAATCATTTTTTCCTTGAGAAGTGGCACATTAGGGAACAGGTTTCAGCCAGCAGCCTGGTGAGGCTGCACAAGGAAAGCATTCACCATCATAAGTGCAGGAGGACACAACCAATAAAGTGTAGCCTGTCCTGCCACCTGAGTGAAAACCAGCATAGCCGAGCACACAAAGCACCACAAAATTAAACCCTGCATATACCATATTTGTAATAATAGTCCCAACATTCTGGGGGAACAAAAAATGCTGTTTCAACTTAGGCTCAGGAAGATTTGGGCACCCACAAGAGTTAGGACACATGTATTGCACTAGAAGCACTACCAGCATTCAAATCCCAACCAACACTGATGCAGATTAGATCTTCACACACACTGGTCTGTCTTCTGAAAGGTGACCCATTAGACACCCCAAGGATGTAAGGACTAAACTCCTAAGGCTGGCCTTGCTGTCATCTTCTTTGGCAGATTAGCTAGCCCATGATACAGGTACAAAATCTCAAGTTTATTTGACGGTGCTTAAAACTGCCAGTGTACTTCACAGATGACCTGAGTGCAAGTCTACTAATTTAAAACAAACAGATTTCAAATATTTTAAACTTTTGATTTAGCAGGCACATTACTTCGCGTTTCAGAAGTTCACCATCTGCTGGGTTTACCTTTTAAGTCTCTCCACACTCCGGCTGCGCAGCCATCTGGGATGAGATAATTTGAACAGCAGACTGTTTCCTCCCATGTTACTAGAGAGGAAGAGCAACCAAGCATGTATGAATAAAGTCTATTTCATTCTTTCAAACAAAGGTGGAGGAGGATGATTTGAAAATTAAAAAAAAAAAAAAAGGAGGGCGGGGAGGGGAAGAAAACTAAAAATGGCAAGCCACTTTCCATCTTCAACTGTACCATGACTACCAAAGCTGAGTCACAGTTACTATTGATAAGCAGGAGAGAACAGAGCCTGACTTAAAGATCCTCAGGTGAATCTGCAAGGCTGACAGCTAGAAAGCTTTTCCATTTGCAAAGTAAAAAGGGAAGAAGTAGAACCAGAGCAAAACAAAGAAGTTCATCTATGCACATCTATGGAGTCATTCTCACAACTGGAGCCAGCTAAGACATTAGCAACTCTTGTCCATCTGCTGGTGCAAATACCTATGTGGACTCAGTAGAATCCACATCTTCTGCACTTTCTGTAGGAAAAATCACATTAAGATACCAAACGCCAGCATCAGAAATTAGACAGACACAGAAGGAACTTTAATTATACAGCATATTTAAAATGTATCCTCTCGCTGTTCAGTGGCTTTGAAACAGTGAATTCCCTATGCTAATTTTCCTAGAACAAGTCACAGCCACCTCAAATCCTTCACTATGCAAAATCTCAACAGGCATAGGAGGACTAAGAGGCACTAAGACAGTTTTTAAAAAAATCCCAAAACCTCCAGCTCATTTCTATGTCGATCAAGAACTTTGCTTTGTTCAACATGGTAAAAACAGTCAGGCGTGATGGCAGAAGTGGCAACACTTAATAAGGTTGCATTATGACAATTCCCATGCAATGTCCTCAAAAGGGAGCTGTGCAACCACTTAAAGAAGAGGTAATTCCGCTCTACAGAAATAACACTTACTGTGTCATTGTCAGCTCTTTTAAAATCTTGACAAGCCCGCGCTTCACGATGCCTGTCTTGTCAGAGGGAAGCACCACAACAGACATCCTACACTTTGTCAAAAGAGTAATTCTCACCCAAAATCATCTTAAATTTGCATGACAGCACAAAGGTGAATTTGGAAGCAGACAACAGAAGGCTCTGAGGCTTGCGTGCCTCCAACACTGCATGGCTTCACTCATTTTATAACACCAGCAACAAAAGTTTAGTAAATCAGCCACCAAGAGGAATTCTTCTTCCACCTGTTAAGGATCAGTTAACTCTAAAATATTCTTACATACAAGCATGTTAAAAATACTTATTCTCCCCAAGAATTTTCACACTAATGGCCAGTCCTCTGAGGAAACTACTCATTGAAATTATTTTAAAATAGCAGCAAGTGGAATGAAGAACAGATAACACACTCCATATACAGTGCTGGGGGACCAAAGAACAGCCAGCCACACAGCCCTGGCCTACAGATCCATATCTGGCTTATGTTGGTGTTCTCCAAGAGCAGGGCTCAACTCCCAATCCATGTTTTGTCATCTAGCCTTTCACTCCTCATAGGCAAGACCATAAAACCTCCTTGCTGAAATCCTCTCAAAAGGCAAGTTTGAAAAGACAGGGGATTAGGAAGCAATCGATGAGAACTGTGGCAAAGCAACAATTTTCTCAGCAGGGCTGTCTTGATAAAAATCTGCTCACTGACAATTTCTCTTTCACCTTTGTTATTAGAGTTCCTCCGTTCCCCACCATCTCAGGCTCTCAGTGCTGGCAGTCAGAGACCTGACCCAATCCAGAGTCCCCAGAGAGGGACACAATCCCAGTGCCTCGGCAGACTGACACTGCTGCTCAGGGGAAGCTCAAACCCACATACCTTGCAGTGCTGCAAAGACTCTCCAGGAGGAAGTGACAGAGACAAGTTTCATCTGTTCCTTGACCCTCAACAAACTGAGGAAGTCTCTAAGTATCATTCCTGGGGTGTTGTGAAATAAGACCTCACTCCAAGGGAACACAAGCTCAGTTCAGGATTAAGTTAACAGAATTGCCTCAAAAAGAGCACACAGCTGCCCTACCGACCAGACTTTTAGGAGCTGTCAAAGTTTACCCCATTTGGCCTCTAGGCTGGCAGTGATCACAAGGAAGAGCAAACAGTCATCTGGCCAGCTGTTTGAAGTACACAGAAACAACTGGACTGGATAAAGGAGACAGTTCATTTTTGTAAGAAACAATATATTTTATTTTTCTGACACCACAGCCCTGGCGAGTGGTTTTGTACCAAATTTAATGGAGGTTACACAGAACGTTTTACGCTGGGGAGGAAAAAAAAATAACCACAAAAAAAAATCCTGGATAACTTTTAGTGTCTGTTCCACTCCCACATTAATAAAATCACTTGGGGTTTCTAAGAAAAGGAGAATAGGAAACAGTGAGAGAGACTACTGTAGGATGTAACAGTGTCCAAGTCCAGCCCCTTCCTAAAAGTGGGAAGAGTCCCCACGTGAGGAGAGGCTCTCCTAGATTTACTCCTCAAAATAACACAATGTATTGCAGCTGCCATAGGAGGAGACAGAAGGGGATGGAGAGAGAGAGAAGCCTATTTAATAAAGAGTGGGAGGGAGAGACAGAAGGTGCTGGACAGCACTCCATAATTTGAAAAATATGTCCTTAACTTATTATTTATTTCTTTTAAAAGATTCCCCTCACTGAACTTAAGTTCCTTTTTGTGCTTTTCATTAATACTCTGCTCTGAGGTCGTAGTTTGGTTTTTCTATACATTGGAGTTGAAGGAAAATAGTCCGAAGTTCTGAAGATGGATTCTCCACCTAAAGTAAACAGCCTAGAATCCCATTCTCCTCTCACCCCAAAGACTAAAGTCTCTGCTAAAATCCCTTTTACAATATAGTACAGTACACAAAAAACCCCAAAAATAACCGAGAGTCCTGGGAGAAGCCAGTCCGAAGGACGTAAACATACAGAGAATGGTGCAACTTGTGACAAATGGCAATTCTCAAAATACAGCTACAGATTCTCAAAGCAGGTGCCGTCACGGGATACCCAAGTCCACAAAAATAATTTTTAAAAAATAAATCTTAAAAAAAAAACAACCTGTTAAAATGAATATTTTTTTTTTCAGGTAATTCCATACATTCGAGATTTCCCAAAGTGTCCTCTGGTCTCTTTTCACCTATTGCATGGCCAAACTGTACTCCTGAAGCTCCCAAAAAAGCCCTCAGGACTTGGAATCTCATCTTGACAAGGATCAGAACATCCAGTCTTATGGTAGCAGCTTAAAACATCATGTTCCCTGGGTTTCCAGGGCCTTGGCTAAATCCTCCCATGCCAACATCAGCAGCCATACCTCGAGGCCTCATCTGGGGGGGAATCATGATGTTTTGTTGGGGTCCCATCATGCCCTGCATGGACATCATCATGCCAGGTGACCCCACGGGGCCCGGGTGGCTGTAGAGCCCGGCGGGGGCTCGGTCCTTGCCCGGGATCATGCCCACGGCGGCCACGGGGTTGCTCATGAGCGCGGGCTGGCCAGGCATGGCGGGCTGTGCTGGTGACATCATGCGGTGGTGCGGCCCCATCATGCCCTGCTGCAGGAAGGCCGGCGGCCTCATCGGGTTGTGACCGGGCATGGACGGAGCCGTGCCCAGGGGGATATCCGGAGTTCCCACCGGCCCAGGGCCCCCCATGCCGGGCAATGTTAGTCCCATCCTCGGGGTCTGCTCTCCGATCATCCCCTGCATGTGGGAGAAGCCAGGCCCAGGGCCCTGCGGCTGCTTGCGGCCCGGCACCTCCCCACGAGGGAAATACTGTAGTGTCTGGCTGGGCTTCTCCGACGGGATAATCCTGGACAGGTCAAACTCGGGTATTCCCGTGGCTCCAGGACGGATCACCTCCTGCAGCTCTGGATCAGTGAAAACCGAAGGCATGTTGTTTCCGAGAACAGTGAAGGAGTCTGGACCGCCAGGGCCTCCAGTCTTGCAAAGTGCTGGATCTGTCGAACTTTGGGGCAGGTTGGTAGGACGCCCCAGAGGTCCTTCTCCGTGGAAGCCCATTCCCGCTGGGAAGTTGCCTTGTCCACCACTGGGCCCATTGTGTGGAAATGGCACCTGCTGTGGAGGAGACTGTACGGGAGGGAACCCCTGCGGGAAGCCCAGGCGTCCTTGAGGTACCATTGGAGACTCCTGGGAACCATGCCCCATCATTGGGTTGTGTGACATCAGGCCGGGTCCCACAGGGACCCCGTGAGGAGGTATATTGGGTCCCATAGCATTTGGAGAGGGCATCTGGTTGTTATGGGAAAGAGGCTGGGTCATTCCCATTGGGCTAAGGGTTGGCATTGGACCCACTGGGTTTGGACCTGAAATTCGAGGATTCTGAGAATTAATGCCCATTCCTAGGGAAGAAACAAGGAATCACATTTAGACAGCAATCAATAATCAGTAAAGCCATCAGAGAACTTCTGCAAGGTTACCAAGTCCGTGCACACACAAAAAACCAGGGCTACTAAAAGAGACATCAGCAGTGGCTCTGAAAAGCGTTATTTTAACCAGAAATTTGATGTCACTCAAACAGCTGCCTCCCTAAGCTTGTCACTGCCCTATCAAGCAGTGACTAAAGCCTGCTCCATAAGCAGGATTTCAATCCAAACCATACTTTTACTACCTCCCTGGCAGACTGGATGACACAAGCAGTAACAAACATGCCTGTGACAGATTATCAGCATATGGACACTTGTCCACTGGGAAGTGACCAGAACTCCTTTCAAAACTCAGCAGTGATAAATCAGGTAACCCTTGTAAGACTAAGAGGCAGTGATCAATGAGGTTAATGAGTTACCATCATGAACTTATTCAATTAGCCAGCTTCCCCCAGATGTATTCAGCCACTCTGATCATTACAACAACACTGCAAAGCTACAGGTAAACTCATCAAGAATTCATTATGAATATCCACTCATCCCCTTTTTCAACTATTAACTCAATAGGGTGGAGATGCTACAGCCTACTTTTGTATTTTTGATGACTCAGCTTCCAAACAAAACCAAACAAACCTCCCAAAAACAGTGAAGTTCTATGGCACTGCCTTAAGACAGGGGAGGAAAAGTTTCCTCTGGATAATACATTGTAGGTCTGACCCTTAATCCCATGAGCAGCCTTCATTCACACAAATAATTCCTGCCTGAGGGGAAATCTCTCCTATACACAAGTGATTTCCATGTTAGACACCTTCTGAAGAATGCACACTTTCTGGACAGAAAAAAAACACTTGCACGGATAATTTCCATCTCCACATTTCAGAGAATTGCAAACTGCTTCCTCAAAAACAACCTATGGCTGCACATTCCTCCAGTTTTTTCCTTATCTCACTGTCATCATTTGACGAGGCTTCCATGAAATCACCCTTGATACCTCGTGCTTTTTGTCCCTTTATTTTCTTACCTGGTACACTGTTCATAGGTGGCAAGTTTGGGGAGCGTGCTGGAGGGGAGTCGTCATCCGAGCTGGCCACAGTTTTGATGGCATCATGATAGAGCGGTGTAGAGCTGGGCATGGCAAATTTGGACATCCTGGACATCATAATAGAGAGGGGATTCTGCGAGAGGGTTGGCTCTGGAGGCATTGTGTAAGGACTGCTAGAGGGAAGATTTCCAGGGAGAGTCACAGGAGCAGACTGGCTGGCTGTGGAAGGAGGTGGACCACCTTAGGGAAAAAAAAAAAAAAAAAGAAAAGAAAAAGAAAGAATTTAATTTTTTCTTCTTCTTCCTGTTTTCCTTAAATCGAACTCTTTTCCCCTAGAAATCTCAAAAACTAGAAATCTTTTTGGTTGCAAGACTTTACACGATTAATGCAGTCAATGACTATGACAGGTAACCAGAAAAATATGCCTATTGGTCAAGTTGATTAACATCTGTTATCCTACTGCATAACACTTCTAACTAGAACTATCTTGAGCCTCCACAAACCCACATGAAAAATTACCAGCTTAGTCTGGAAATCTTACTATTCAATTTCCATACACTGAAGACAGACATAGGTACAAGAGCTAGCCATAAAAATCAAAATCTATAATCAAAAAAGACACAGGCAGCACAAGGAAAGCTGTAGCAGATGATATGCTGAGACATGTGAGCACATTTTTGACAAGCTACATCAGTAGCTACAAGTAAAACTCCCTGTTTACGTTGCATTTCTTGATGCATATAGAGATATTAGCTGCTCATTCCAGTGAAAGAAACATTCTCTGCACCTATTAGCTTAATGTCATCCTTTGCTCTCATAAAATTAGAAGTAAGCTGATTTCCAATCTCCTTTGTTCTTCACTGATGAATTTTATGCCACCAGACCAATGTGAAGGAAAAAAGCTAAACTGAAGCTGTGCTCTCACTGAAAATTCACTACACGCTCCTCAGCCCCTCCCAACCAAAAGAGGAAAGGAGAATAGGGAATATAAAAAAACTGCAACGCCGGAAGCTCCATGCTTTGGAAGAGCTGCATGTCAAAGCATTCATTAAGGATACGTAAGACACAGACTGAAGCACTTTGGTGCCTTCCCGAGCCGCCGACCCCACAGGCACATCCCGGTCCCCGCTGTTACCCGCAGCAGCACTAGAGGGCAACGTGGGCAAAGGGCTCCTCTTTTCCCAGCCAGGAGAATTTCCCAGGCGGGAAAGCCACCCAGGGCTGTGGAAGCCTGGACTGAAGGGTGGGTGAGCTTTGAGAAGGTGAGGACAGCACCTGGACCCAGGCACAGCACAGCTCAGCTCAGCACGCAGCCAAATGTTATGTACAATGGTGGTTAAGATTGCTCCAAAGATTGCTTGAGGCCTGAACAACTGAATCACAACTTCCTATCTGCAATGAAAACCTAGAAAGGACCAACCATTCCTGACCCATGCCTAGATATACAGCTGGTTAACTGCCCAGCATGTTTTTGTAGGAGTTTTATACCAAAGTGCTTTAATAATGTCAACGGGATCTTCTGCATTGAGCTACAATGACTATGAGCTATGGAGGAACAGCAGAGGGCCCCTCCAAGGAGAGATTTCTCCCATCAATTCTCCACATCTTTTCACACCTCTTGACCTCATCCTTTTACTTCTACTCAGTGACCAGCCCTCAGCTGAACACATGGGAGGCAGGGTGCAAACCCACAAATACAACAGGAGGAGAAACCCTCGCCCTCCACTTGCATGGCCACCCACCAGACCCTCGGCACAACCCCCCCCCAAATAGGGAAAGGGCCACCCAGCTCTTGTCCTGCTCCAGAAGCCCTCCTCCCTCCCTCTGCTGCACCATCTTGGATGACACAAACCAAAGCACTGAATCTGGCTAGTGGAGGAGGCACTCACCCGACTCCACGTTCCCCAGCATGGCTGGAGAAGACATGGTTAGAGACGCCTTATGGTTCGGGGGAATCCCGGGGCTCTGCAAAGGAGGCTTTGGAGATGAAGTCCATCCAGGAGAAGGTGCAGGGAGAGACGGAGACTTGAGGTGGACAGGAGAAGCAGCAGCAGACCCCAAGACAGGGGGGGATTTAATGGAGGCAGCAGCAGCTGCGGCAGTGGGGCCCGCGAGCATTCCTGCCAGCTGGGAGGGCGTCTGAGGGGACTTGAGGTTCCCCGAGGGAGACCCCATCATGGGAGACTGCACTTGGCGCATCGTGGGCGACTTCAGGGGGTTGATTCCAGGCGAATGCACCTGACCAGCTGCAGAGATATCCAAGGGCTTGCGGCCGAGGCTGCGCTGCGCAGGGGGAGCAGTGTTGAGGCTATTCGGGTTACTGGTGGGATTGAGAGGTAGTGGCGGCATGTGGCTGAGCCGGTTGTTAGTCCTTTGGTCAGGCCCCATCTGTTCTCTGAGATTCCGGAGACCGACTCCTGGGCCCTGAGACATGGGAAGGAAAGGCCTGGGACCCATGCCATACTCCTGCTGTGGGTGCTCCCCAAACGGCAGCGGCACCATTTTCTGCTGAGAGGAGAGCATCTCCGAGACACCAGGCCGCAGCTTCATCATCTCTTCCGGCCCGACTCCTGCCTCCCTCAGCTTCTGAGGGACCAGGGGTGGGTTGGAGCCCATGCTGACATTCATGCCCATGTCCCCCTTCATGCTACCAGGGCCCATCCCAAACTCCAGCTCCCTGCTAGAAGCCATTTGTGGGGGTATTCCTTTCGGGAAGTCCCCCCTAGAGGGACTCATCGGTCCTTCTACTGGCATGCGAGGGAAGATGGGGTTGTTGCCAGGCTCCATGTGTCTCTGGGAGGGCATCATTCTGTTGATCTCCATGCCAGGCCTGATGCCTTCCATGTTCAGACCAGGAGGGAGGCCCATCTGTTTCTCAGCCAGCTGCTGCTGATAGAGCTCTTCAGGCAGGCCCTGCGGATTGGGGAACCGCTCCCCTCGGCCAGGGCCGCTGAAGACACCCTGACCAGGAGGGAAGTTTCGGCCATCTGGGATTTTTGGCACATCATCTGGCCAACTAACTCCTGAAAGCCCAGGCCGTGAGGCGGGATTCGGGATATTGGGGCCTTCCATGTCAGGGTTCATCATTCCTGCAAAACCAGGCAGGCGCATCTGGCTCCCGGGCACGTTGGGATGAGGGGCCATGCCCCTGGGGGGCAGAGAGTGGGACATGTTCATGCCTTCAGGGAAGGGCTCTGGACCCCCAGGTCCCCAGCCCTCACCAGGGGTCATCTGGTAGGGAGGGGGAGGACCTCGGACCACCCCACGAGGCCCGTGCTGGTGGACCATCATGTCCTGCAGAGAACACTGCTGCACCACCACCTGCTCTTGCTTCCTTCTCTTCTCCTCGTAAAACTCCTGCTGCAGCTTGAGCCAGGCCACTTGCTCAGGAGTCATATGGTCCAGGTGGTCTGGGCCTATGGCTCCTGACTGGGAGTTCATTGGTGGTGGCCCCATTTCATCTGGGGAAAAAGGCATGTCCCTGTGTCCTTGAGGGCCAAATGGAGCTCCTCCATCTGTCCGAGACCCCGACCCTTTGCCTAAACTTTGGGATTGAGCCATCATAGCCTGTATCGGCCCTTCAGGTTTCTTTTGGGGACCATCCAGCACCCCAGCATTTGGGGGTGGCCCCCCACTTTGCCCTCCCGCAAACTCCTTTTCATCAGGGAAGAGCATGCGCTGGATGTCTCTCAGGGTCTGCAACGAGCGCTCTCGGTGCTCCAGCTGCTCCTGTGACAGTCCATCGGGATTCTCACCCAAACTGGATGGGTCCCCACCAGACCCCTGCTGGGGAGGACCTTTGGGATCCGCAGCAGAGCTATTGCTACCTTGGGAAACTGGGCTAACTGCTCGATTATTAGGGGTTGAACTCTGCCCAAATCCTTCTGTCTGCAACGGGGTAGAGTTAGCAGGGCTGCCCACAGACATCACTTTGCTTTCCACACTGGGACTGTCCTGATCTATGGGACATGGGGGGCCAGTGGGTTTGGATACTGGCGCTGACACGGGTGGAGTCGGCTGCATTTTGGCGTTCTGCGGAGGGTTCTGGTCCTGGGCAGCAGGGGGCTGGGGCTGCGGCAGGGGCTTGGGTTCAGTCCGAAGTGCAGTGATCTGGGGGTTCTGCAAGACAAAGCCATACTTAGTCACTTGCTCTTCTTAACAGCCATGTCACTTAAGCAGCAGTGCAAACAAAACGTCCAATCTCAATTCCACCAGCCCAAAATTTGCAGGGAAGAGCAGCCTTCAAGCATCAATTACACAGGAGCCTCTTGGCAATGCAGAAAACCACTCTGCTCAAGGCATTACTGCAGGGACCCCCTTCGTCTGTGCTAGCTCTGCATGACCAATGGGTTGGAAATATACTACCCAAATATTGCAAGACCCTAACTTCTCTTTGGATGACCCAAGACATTTATTTGCAGACAGTCTGAACGACAACTGTCTTGCTAAAGCTCATTTCAGAGTGTAAAGAATCATTCATCTCTCTGAATCACACACAGGCACATTTACAATTCCCCTTCTCACCCCCATGCAGGTATTCCCTACCAAGGGTACAGTGTTTCGTTCCGCCTTGCTGTTTGAGATGTTCTGGATATGAAAGGACACGATGGTTTCCACCTGTCCCTTCAGCACAGCTTCTGCAGCCCTGCAAAGACAGACAGACAGATGCACATACCCAGTTGAAGCTAAAAAACAATTTTTCTTAACTGGCCTCCTTTCTATCTTTCAGCTGGCAAAAGGGAGAAAGACTTAACCGCACATATTTCACTCTAAATGAGTAGCAAAAGAAAAATGCTTGCATCTACAAACTCAGCAGCATTCAGGGTTCATGTCTCAGTTTAAGCCATCCTGGCTGCTATTCATTGCAGGGATTGCGAAACAATATCTACCAACATTTGCAAAGGAAAAAAAAATATCCCCATACCCCAGAGAAGTAAACAATTACTTCTCCAAGCAAAAAACAGTAGGGACATTGTCCACTCCAACCCCTTCAGCATCCCCAAAACAAGTAATGCCTTTTTGCTACTTGATGCAGAAAGTGCCCTTGATAATCTCTTAAAAGATAAGCACAAATATTATTCCTGCTCCCAGAAGACATTCAAGCATCTACCTACTTACTTGTTGGCCATCTCAGTAGAAAAGACGTAAACCACTTTGGATGGAGTCTTCTGCCCACTTGCTGGCTCCAAAGTGGCAGTCAAACCATGGGAAGGTGTGGAAGACCTTGGGGCTGAAGCATTTGAAGGAGTCATGGAGTGTGGTGTGTGCTGAGACTCCTGGGACTTTACATGATCAGCAGAATTGCAGTCTGGAAAGGGACAAAGGGACAAAGAAGGGAATCACTATCTTGGGATCTCTTTGGAAATCTGTTCTGGAAACTAATCAGAGCTTTTTCTCCTCTGAAATTTCCTGCTTCTTCCTCAAGCTCCACTAAATGCAATTCTTCTATTACACCACACATCTTTCCTCTAAAGGCTTAGTGTCCTTCAAGCACAACACTGGCAGAAAGCTCCTCTTATGTCCCTTTATAAGGAAAGTGGCAGTTCCCCCAATTGATCTCTTTGAATTCTCTAATGACCATATAAAAAAGCAGAAAAACTACACTTTTATGTAGGAACAAGGGTAAATATGTCTGCCTCAAAAAAACACTTCTGCAGAACTTTTTTTTTTTTTTGCTCAGCCACCTTAGCTGATGGCCTAGCAAATGTACAACAAAGATGGACAACTGAACGTGTAGTCTGGTTTTGCACTGCCTCACAGAGGCAATGTGGGAGCCAGAAAGAGAACACAGAAATCCAAACTCTCTGGCTTGTGTTACCCAGTCAGGGTGCTACAGGTTATGTATCTGTGTTGACAAAACAGACCTGCATATTGTTTAAAACCCCAGTTACAACAGAACAGTTCCTGAAAGGCCAAAGGCCAGAAGGACACCAACAGGTTGCATTTGTACTTTTAAATCCTCTGGGGGAGTTTAAGAGTTACAAAGGAACTTTCCCACCAGAGTCAGGTCTGGGCTCTAACCAAGCGTGAACAAGACATTTACCAATGCCAGCTATGACAACCTCTCCTCTTCGCCTGCTTTCAAGACCTTTCGACTTCATTGGCTGGAACTTACAGAACCCCAGACAAACAAATGTTTCACTAATAGTTGCATAGCAATTCTCCATCTCACAGAGGATTCAGACTGATTGTCTGCACTTGCACATGAACCCTAGCAAACATACCTTTGATTTCCGGGTCATCATTAGGAGTCCCAGCTTCCCTCTGTTCAAAGGAGTCTGCCGAAATGCTCCTCTCTCTCTTCCCCTTCCCCTTGGCACCATTTCCAGCCCCATTCTTCAGCCCCATACTCCCACCCGGGCCCGGGAGCACTTTAGGGGTGTGACCTCCACTTTTGGGGTCACAGGGAGAGGGCTGGGATTGGCTGGTGGAGCCCCCTTGTTTGCCTTGGTTGGAAAATTTGGAATCCAGCTGAGGGTTGCCAGACGGGGACATCACTGTAGGGGGACGGACCATCACCTCCTGCTTTGATTTGGGGCTACTGGGGAGAGAGGGGAAAAAAAAAAAAAAAAAAAAAAAGAAAAGGAGCCTTCAGAGTTCCCACAAAAAAAAAAAAAAAAAAAAAGGGAAGAAAAGGAAAAAGTGACAAATCACACCTTTGATTCCTTCAGCCCTGTAGGAACAGATTAGAGTGAAGCAGAAACAACCACTGTCACATTTACAAGCTAAGACAATTGCTGACAAATAAAAAATGCCTGCAAGCTTAGAGTCATGCAGGTGCTTTTTTGAACATGCCCTGAAAGGGTTATTATCCAAGATGGGATCTCATTGCTCAAGAAGGCACCAGGGCAAACCACAGACCTGCCAGATCCCAGAAACTGCTGTCACATGAGGACCCACCTCTGGTGCTTCTGTCAATAAAGACAACGGTTTCTATGTGCACAGAGAAGCACCTCACACCAAGACCAGCTCAGAGTAAATAAACAAGGCACAGTGAAGTTCCCCTCACTATTCTCCTGGACCCCAACTACACTGCAGCTCTGATCAGAGCAGACCCCCCCCACACCCCCTCCCTTGCACCTCCCTATCCAGTTCTACAGGGAGCACAAGGAAAACCCAGCATTACTGCAGCATTCGTCATACATTGGGGCGAGCTGCCAGAGAAACACAAACCTCTGACCGTGAAAACAATTAAACCAGCTACAACCTGCCCCTGAATAAGGAAAGAGAAGGATACCATCTCCAAGCACACTCCTGCAAAATGGGGCAGATGAATCCTCTTCAATTTGCCAAAGGAGTCTAGCAAATTGCATCCTAAAAATATTTTGCTCCTCTACGGATATTAGACACCCCTTCACTCCTCACCCTCCACTTACTCCATTGCTATCGGATCTTCTGCATTGTGTTTTCCCATCATCACTATCATTTCCAACAGGCAGTTGCAGTGCTTGCTAGCATCCTCACTGTGGGACTCACACAAGCTGTTCCTTCCTTTGGACAGACATCTGACTCAGAAGCATTCCCTCTGAAATACTGTTAAGCTCCAGATGACCTCTAGGAGTAAATAATCAAACTGAAGAATGCTGTCAATCAGAAGCATCCTAAGTCCCTGGACACTGCTTTGCTTTCATATTTTTCCCTTTCCAAATTAGTGGAGAAGAAATGCTGACCTGCTGCACTGGCAGGTGACTGACACAGAGGATCTCAGTGCTCATGATCAGTTCTCCAGGCTGTTCAAGCCAATAATATGGAGAAAGCATTTTGTGTGAAAGTAGAGACAGAGAGAACCTTCTGCTGCCCAGTTACCCCTCGGGAAATAGATAATTAGAAGACGAGGAAGGGAAAAAAGTCCAAGAAAGAAACATCAGGTTTACTCCCCTACAGCCTATCCAGGCACCTAGCGGGAGGAGAGCACAAGAAATGGAGAATCCACACCTCATGGGTTTATAGATTTCAGCTCATCCTGAGCCTTGCAAACATGGAGACCACCAGCACTGTGCAGCCACTGCTCAGGTACTCAGAAGGTCCAATGGAAGCACAGAGGAACCAGGAAGTCTCATTGCCCCAGGCCTTGGGCTAATCCAGTAGCAGAGCAGGGACGGCAATGTGCACCAACCCACAGCAGCTGACTGCAGGCTCTTCTCCTTACCTCTGTGTGTTGCCTGACGGGGAGTTCCTCACTTTGGGGTTACTGGAATGCATTGACAGAAATCCTGAGCTCACAGTCTCACACACACGCAGATGGGCTCTCGTCAAGTTCCTCTGGGGAGCGTGCTGCCAGAGGCAGCGCCGAAGCACTTTCTGCCACCCGCTTCTCTCAGTGCTGGCTGCCTGCTTGCCTTTTTTCTCTTTGCTCCTCGCTGCTTTTGCACTGGGCACTTCCCTCCTGCAGCTCCAGCATTCTCTAGATGCGTGCCTCCTGCTGCCCAGGGGAAGTCTCGCATCTCCAGGGCACACTGCAAACCACCCCACAAGGAGAGAACAGAAAACCAATGAGGAACTTCCCAAGCACATGTGTCTGGTGTGAAGCAATGCATGGCAATTCTTCCCCCATTCCCAAGAAGACACAGCAGAAGAGCTTTCAGACAGATGTGTACTTCAGATCACAGGAAACCCTGGCTGGCCATTCAGTTTACAGGCAGTGAGGCCACCTTCCCTTTGTCCAAAGCAAATCGTTCTGGAGTCAACAAAACAGGGAAGCACCTTGTATCTGAACACTTTGATTCTGCATCCGTGTTCAACTTAAAGACACCTCACAGCAAGTCAATAGGAAGCCAAAAGTACAAATCCTCAACATGACTTAGCTGTCCGAAACTCCCCTGTGAATGGCTGTAATCTGATATTAAGAACATAAACTCTGCTTAAATCTTCTGTCTCTTTGGTCCAATACACCTAGACATATGTTCAATGATGTGTGCTAAGGGTTACACAAAGGGAGAAAAATAAAATGCTTTCCTAACCACCTGTAAGCTACTGTTCTGTGTGATTACTTTGAAAACACAAGGAGTTAATCACTCATCATATCTATTAGAAAGGCCAAAAAAAGCACTGGAGCAGTACCCATCTAAATTTGCTCAGCAACACTCCACAGATTATTGAGGCTTGGGAAAAAAAAGGCACAAAAAAAAGCAGCTGCTTTTTCAGCTTCTTTCTAAGAAACAAAGAAACAATATGCATGATGCAGGCAATAAGGCACATAAAGCTGTTTCTGGAGGTGGAAACTATTGAACATTACTGTTTACGTGCTTTGGGCTAAATTATTTTGGAACAAATTTCCGTCTTGTTTATGTTTCAACAAAATCTCTCCTGTTCATCTCACCTACTCAGATGCAAATCCACTTAATTTAGAATCTAACCAAGATTTATTGTTAATGTATTAAGCATTGCTAGTTAAATATTATTCAAATGTAAATACTCCCGATATTCCTTCTCAGCACCAAAGAAGTAGTTTCTTCCTATATATACCAAATGAAACAAAATAGAACTTACTAGGATGGGAGTGTCTGGAATTTTATGAAGGAACTAACGTTTAAACTGCATTTCAAAACAAAAAATTGGCTTATGTGCTGATGACATCAGATGATTAAAAGACATGGGCACTCTCTGGCCAAGGAGAGTTATCAGCAACTTGTGGTATTGAGCACCATGGTTTTATAGCTCCCCAGATTTGTACAGTTGTGAGGTTGTGCTATTACACATTTTAGTGACTTTGTGCTGTTCTGCTTTAATATGATAGTGATCCACACTGCAGTCGTTGTGTGAAGTTCTGCATCACCTCCAAAAATTCTCCTCTCTACCACACATCTCCTTCATGAGCCAGAGAAGTCATCCTACTCCCTATCTCACCTCCACTGTGCTGCACAAACCTATTAATGTGGGGAATGTTTCTGCAGAAAATGTCTCGTTTTAAAGGCTTCTTATCAGTCATAATCAGATGGCCTCTAGTATGAACCACACACTCCAGAGGACCAACATACCTCTCTGGGCTATTAGCGGGTTATCCCACTAATTTTGGGAACAATGTTGGAGTTACCCTGTCACTATTGTTCCTACTATCATGTTGCAATTACAGCTGGTTCTATACAGATACATTAAAGAGGAGAGAGAACCTCTTCACACACATCTAAATGGTATCATCTTTGCATGCAAATTTAGCTCCTACGTCTGTTTTGTTAAACAAAACTGTAACGTTATCAACAGCATCCAATTCTACTTTCCAAGAGATTGATACATCTGTAAAAGTCAGTAGAACTCTAAACCTTTAGCACCCTCACTTAAGCTGAAGGTGTGGCTGACAATACAGCAAATTTCAGGTCTAAAAGAATGAAAAAAGTTGAGTAAAAGCATACAGGTGAGCAGAGCTTGATGCTTACAGCAGGATGTAGATGTCTGCATGATGAACTTAAGTATTCTGGTTGTTTTATCCTCTGCTTTTCCATCTGGATATTTATACATTATGTTACCTTTTATTACAAGATGAGAATTGTCTCAAGAGTCCCAGTCTTGCATAGTGCAATGAGAAAACATGAAGAGAAGAATCACAATCACACTGGCTATATGGTATTCCTGACATCACCAAACTTTCAAGTACTTCACCCAGGGACGGGAGAAGTATTTTCCAATTTTTTAACCTTACTTTTTTATTATTCTATATACACACATGTTCCATATATTAGAACTGATGCACTGTGCAAAGGAACCATGTTTTCCAATCTCAGTTTAAATTTATTCTTACCAGAGAGAGCTATAAAGGATACATCAATATATTCATAGGAGGAACAACAGCAACTCAACTTCCTCAGCTTCTTATTTCTGCACATGTGGAACGTACCATCTTTTATAATGTGAAATGGAATGTCTCATGATTTTTCTCAATGCACTTCTAACATACATATGCCTGGCAATCTAGGGTTCAATAATGGAAAAGCTCTAGAGAAATGTATTTTTGCAGCTGTAGCCTGCCTGCCATAGCAAAGCCTATATCATTGCTTTAAAATTAGAGGTAGGGTCAGTGACAGTGAATGGTCAAACCACTTTTCAAGAAGACATTTTGGAAAGCTTCAGCCAAGGCTGTATTTTCAGGATGGCTTTAGGGTATGGCAGACAAAGGTTGAAGAGAAGAGGCACGGTTCAGCTGGCTACTCATTCTCACCACCTCTGCTGACGACATCAGGGAAAGATCTGAGTGGGAACTAACCCAAGGGAAACAACAGAAATTTCTATTCAGCTGGATTTGCCCCTTGACCTGGTTGATCATGTAACCACATCACTACTATTACAAGCTCAGAAGAGGAGGTGAGAACAGGTGAAAATGTAGCCTCACCCTACTTGCTTGCAGCCTACAATGTGGATGGCTTTAAATTAATTCCAACTTCAACTGCAGAGACAAAAGAGATGGATCTACATTCGTGGAGATATTTCAGATCCTTGTTTTTCCAACAAGTAGCTTACCAAGACCCCTGGTGTCACGACACTGCAGTACTCATCGTGGAGGCCATGAGTTGCAAACCACTTGTCTCACAAAAAACAGTCACCTGGAAAAAGGAGAGGAAAAGTTTCACCAACAAGAACTCACAGCCAAGCCGTGCATCCCTTCCATGCATTCAACCCCAGAAGCAGAGAAATCAAAAGTTGCTCTGAATCACCAACAAGGGGAAGTCTCTGCTCAGCCTGGAAACATTTACCAGCACCCAAGAATCTACCACCAGACTGGAAGACTGAAGATCCATGCTGCCCATGGAGGGGAAATAGGGCAGACCTGCTTTAGCACTCCCATGTTTAGCCAGCTAGATTTCCATGAGCTCATCTTTGCTTAGAGAAGCTGGCACAGAGCTTGGACATGTCACCTTCCCTTCTCTGCACCCATGTCTCTTCAAAGGCTCACCTTCCCCTCACAATGTGGCCAGCAACTCCTGCCAAACCCTTGTGCTTCATATAGGCAACCTCCTCCACAGCCAGACAATGTATAAACAGAAACATCAAGTATCAGGCAAAGCCAGGCAATCACATCTAGGGGAAAACCAGGCAGGTTTTAGAAGGAGGAAGCACTATCTACTGCTCTGGCAGCTCCTACTTCAAATCACTGCATACCCTACAGGATGATGGGAATCCAAAGCAAGTTTAAGTGCCTGAAAGTTCGGTGATACAAGGAAATGCAGGCTCTGAAGAGCGGCTTACTGGTAAATCTGAGGTTAGTGAAAAAAAAAAAAAAGAGCAGTGGCCTGCCAGCTTCTCCCTCACCCACTGTGAAAACTGTAGAGGCTGCAAGAACAGTATGAATCTAGACAACACTCACACTGTCAGGGCCAGCATGGTATCTCAGAGCACTCTCAGCTATTTACACAGCATGGACAGCCTTGCAGTTAAAGTACAACTGCAAACTGAAATCACTACCAAAATGTTTCTGTGTAATTCCAATGCATTCTGCTGACCACATCTCCCAACAGAAACACAGGAGCTGGAAGCTAATTAGTTATGCGTTGTGAAAGTCTGTGCATATTCTCTTCCCTCCAACATTCTCCAACTATTATCTACTGTAGCTTCACCTTAATAATGTAGCAATGTGCTGCCATGTCATCCACTTCACAAAACCAAACTACAAAGCTAGTCCCAAACAATGCAGCTACATTCTCCACCCAGTCCAGCCAAATCAAACAATGAAATCATCAACGTGATAGACCATCCTTATCTAGCTAAGTCACACCTGCAGACAGAAGCTGAAACAAACACCTATCACAACAAGCTGCTTCACCCAGTAAAACTCACCACAGCAGCACAATCATTCCTGAATCCAATTACTCAGTTGTATCTCCTCTCCCCTTTCCCCCACCCCACCCAACAAAACAATACATGCTAAGCCCTGCCAGTGCCAATACTGACACACCTCTATCAAAGCAGGGACAGAAATCACCTTTTCTCTTGAAGAGGAAACCATGTGAACACCAGCACACGTCAGGATGGAGAGAATCTATCACAAACATCGCTCAGAGCTCTATTCCTTGAAACATTCAATCCCAGTTTGGCAGGGAAGGACAGCCTTGCAGACCATAGCTCAGAACTGCAAGAGGGGCACCATCCATCTTTTAGGCTAGCCAGTTACTGCACTGTAATTCCATTCCCTAGTGTCCCATCTCTGCTGCTCACCTGCACGGGCTTAGCCCTGTCAGCACAAGGCAGTTTGCTTCACAGTGAATTTAAGAGCAAAAGGCTGAGAGCATGCATACAAAGCAGCTACCACAGAGTAACTAACTAACAAGATGCAAATACACATCCTAGTTCACCTTTCAGTTATATATTTTGACCACCCCTATACTTCAACAAACCAGCCACCATATTACTGTATTGCAAATAGGTTTAAAAAAAAAAAATCAAACTAGCTAATTCCTAATTTATGGCCTTAAGCTGAAGAAGCTTGATAGTGACAAGTGGTCAAGTACTTGGAGGTGTACAGCATTATGGCTATTCCAGCAGGAACAGCTGCAGTTATCACTGATTCACTTCAGTCTTTTTTCCCTCTTTGAGAAGGAGAATGTGGAGAGATGAAATAAAGGCATACCAAGTAGATAAAAGTATCAGACTTGTGGCCTGACTGTGACATGAAGCATTAAAGGCAAGAAACCTTTCTCGGCATACAAGAAAGAGCACACTGCTATTTTCCCCATGGCCTTTCTGAGACTGTCAGTCTGTGCTGGACTGAGCATGGTGAGTGCTCAAAATCAGTATGGAAAGAGAAAAGAGGCTGGAGACGTGCTGCTACAGAAAACAAACGATAACTTTGAATGGAAGCTGAGCCTGCACCCTGAATTGTACCTGTGACAGTGGAGTGGGTAAGAAAGGAGAGAGCGGAATAAGAGACTGCTCTGAGAACAACAGAAGCTTTAGGAGGGACCAAGAACAGCAGCCGCAGGAGGTATTTGAGCAACCACTGATCCTGACAACCACCAGGAAGCAAACTTCTGCAAGTGCATCCACCAGTGGATTCCCTGTGTGACCTGAGAGGTGGGGCAAGGCAATGAATCAGCCCACGTGCTCCTTCAGCACATTTTTACTGGGAAGGGCACCTCCAATTTCTCCGACCCTCATTCAGCCACATGATTGGGAGAATAGCTCCACTGGCAAGAGGTGACTCCACTACACCCAAGAGCTACCAATGGTTTTCATCACGTGCTGCACTTACCAGTTTTGTTGAGCATTTGCTTATTTTACACATTTGCAGCTGAGCTGCACGTTACTTTTTAATAAGCTGCTGTTTAATAATGTACTTGATTACACACCTCATTGATAAGGAGAGTGACTGGGAAACAAGGAGGACACAGGAAGTGTTATTCAAAGCTTTTATTGAGCTGTCAGACTTCCTTAAGATCATGTAAAAGCAAATAGATAAAATGTCATGAATATTCTACACCCCATACATCTTTCTATGACACTTGAGGATACAGGGACACAAGACACTTCAATCCCTTGCAGCAGTCCAAATTTCTAGATAGGACTCCCTACCAAGAGCTATTAAATATACCTTTAAATCTGCCTCCTAGCAAAAGCTGTCTTCCTCATCCTTTCTCAGGAAGGATAAAGCACATGCCTGTCACACTACTAGGATGGAACCCATCAGCATTCAAATAGGTGTGTCAAAAATGCAACCTTACCTTCTGCACACCAGCTCTGTACTGGATCCAGGAAAGCAGCTTAAGCCTATCTAACTCTACCCTTCCAGCACTTGTGATACAGCTGAAAATGACCTTCAGATAAGATATGAATAATATTCATGAGACAACTTTCCTGTTTCATCCAACCATGTGTCCATGCTCTCACTGGCATTGGCACAAGAGGCCGTGCTGACTGATGGCAAAGCATGGATAGACTTACGCTTATTGAAATACATTTGTGCCCATCTTCTGCCAGGTCCCTCTGCCCTTTTTCTTAAACAAGGGCAGAAAATACCTCAGGTACCTTCAGATAGGTAACCTGGATACCTAAGGGTAGATTAGTTGTTCATCTAAGATGATTAGACAGCAACTCACAGCCAGTCATCAGTTTCTAGATGGTCCTACCTTATCCTGAAATAGTGTTCCTACGTTTATGTCATAACAACAAAAAAATGATACACAAAGTTCTCACAGTCTCCCAGAGAATTGTCTTACCACATCAGAGAAATCACCACTATTCCAAAGTCTGCACAGCATTATCTCTCTCGTCACAGTTTTACACCAGAAATTACTCTCAATAAACAGAACAATCAAGGGCTTGTAGCAAAATAAGTTTAAGTGACATGAATGTGGGGCTACACAATCTCCACCAGGCAGCATTGCAACCTCCTCAGGGAAAATACCTTCTCCTGCACATGTGGTGTGCAAGCACCTCTCTGTTAAATTCTAAATGAGTAGGTTATTGCCCACAACTACCTCTAGCCCTGAAGCACAGAAAAAGGGGCTGAGCAAAGACAGACTCACCTACAATTAGCATCTTGAAGACCAACAGTCACAGATAGGGAAAGGGCATGCAAGATTCTATGCCATTACATGGCGAGAAATTCCCTTGAGTTGCTTCATTTAATGTAAGAACTTAGGACCACAAGATAAGCCTCCCAGAAACTGTAAGAATATTTAATCAGGCCCATGCAAATGCAGTACAGTGTGGTCACACAATGCAGCTCTGCTGAACCTACCTGTGGCTGCCCATCCACATCTCCCAAATAAGACAGTACAGATACCTTTCCTCCCATATTTCCACCCAACTCCTATCACCACACACGGACCTTTCACAATGAACAAATCTCTCCTGAAGTCTATTCAAATCAAAGACCACAGAAAATCCAACCTTTTGCTCTACATCCTTAAAATGTGCAGTGAAGACAATCACTGACAAAGCACAATACAAACTCAAAGCCTCAGAGAATTAAGTGTTTTATGAATTTCTCATGTCACTATCTCCTTTTCTGAGAAAATGGTATCTCTAGCAACTATTCTCTTCCTTCTGACAAGTACATGGATAACCAACAGTAGCCATGATACAAAGGCTGTATAAGTAATCAGTCTTTTCAGGTACTTTAAAAATCATTCTAAAATAGTATTTTGCAATAGATATGTTGCCCACTACTCTCACAAGCATAACTTTCAAGTGTTGTGAATAACACTAACACTTCTTGTCAAACAGACAACTATATGTCTGTTAAACTTTATTTTCAGTATATTTAACAATACTTCAGTGCATTACTACTCCAGTGGGGATGCATGGCTGTCCTAGACACCTTCTGACCCTGTACAACACCTTCCTCAAAGTAGTGGAGGCAGACACTTATGGACGCTGGTGATCAAATTCAAGGTGTACACAGACAAACATGGAGAGTTTTTCAATTTCCCATCTGCTATTATGTAAAAAACACTTGAACTACTTGGTTCACTTGGGACTGGAACAAGCTCTTGGCAGATTCTGACACAGTTCCAGAATCAGTCTGGGGAAAAAGCCAAAAGAAAAATTCTTTAAAAAAAAACCTCAAAGCCTAAGCTACAACTATCAGCTTCTGTACAGGAACGTTATAAACACTTGCCCTCGGTGCTGTTGCCATTTCAGCTTCACCAGCAGCAGTGGCACTGGCAGGTGCTGGTCAGCCGGGGCGCCGGGGACGCTGTCGCGCACCCTGTCACGACATCGCGCTGACCGCAGCTCAGCCCTGGCGCACTCCGGCGCAGCTGCCAACATCACTTCAGCTCCACCTCTGTTAGCAGTGCTGAGAGCAGTCTATGTACTTTACAAGTGGAGTTTGGAGCTCCTTATGTGGAGCGTCGCTTACCTGAGCAGCAGTCGGGGTGCCATGGAGTTCCAGCTATTGTTAACACCGATAAAGATCAAAAGCTTGAGCAATAAGGGATTTTTCAAGAAACATTTTAACTGTATTTCCCTAATATACGACAGGCTTCTGCAGCTTTCCACATCATGCTAGCAGTCAGTAGCCTTAGCATCAATCAGCATTGCATGCAGGAGTCCAGTGGGTAATGAGAGTTCTCCATGGCCTGCTTTCATAGCTTTGGCTTCTGTCAAAACTTCATTTACTTGTCAGGAATTAGGAGAAGCCACAGGCAATCTCTTTCCCCTTACTTCTCTGGGTTTATTTTTTTCAAAAATTTAAATAGGGACATCAGCATGAACAGGTAAACAGGTAAAACACACCTCCTTGCCAGCAGCCCATTCTCTAGGAACTAATCTATTGAAAGGGGCTGGGAGAAAATACGCTGAAATACGGGATGGGGAGACAGGACCAAGGAGACAGCAGTTGGTTCTTCTACAAGTATTAACACCACACTGCTTAAACAAAAGGCTGGGGAGAAACAAGTCACCAATCAGCACGGAAAAAAACCCAAGTGCTTTTTCCTTCCCTTTCGGCATCCCTTCAACAGGCTTCCAGAATGAAAGATAAGAAGCAATCCTCAGGCGTAATTCCTTGGGCTGCAATCTTGTCAGTTTTCATAAGCTAAGTGGGGCTGGGATGGGTCAGTACAGGACAGAGCTCCTCTGAGAAAAACCCAGTGCTACAGCAAGCAGTAATTCCCCACTCTGCTGCAAGGGGACATGACACATGACACCAGTCGGAATTGCTGGGGGCGAGCCATACACCTTCCTTCATGTTAACCTTCACCTTTACAGCTCTCTGCTCTCTCTCCTCCCAAATAAGCACTTTTCCAAGGCTCCCCTGAGCATCAGTACCTTCCAGCAGTGCCTGCCAGACCAGTTTTCGTTCAGGACTGTCACCAGCAGCCATCCCTCTGCTCTGCTCCTTTGCACGAGCCCTCCTGCTGTTCTCAGGCACCGGGGGAGCTCAACACCACAAACTCAGCATTCCCACGGGAGCAGAGCTGAAGCTACTACATCCCCTACGGCTTGCTGCTGGGTAAAATGTGTGCCAGGGTGTGTTTGTCCCTGGTGCACTGAAACTCTCATTTCTTTGCTTTTAGACCCACATTAGGCATGTGAGCAGCAGCATGACCCTCAGTGGCATAGTACAGTGATTCCATACTGGCTTGCCAGTCCTTAAATGCAGGCTCTTCCACACAGCAATGACTCTTCTAAGGAGTAAGGCACTTCAAAGAACTCCAGCAAGCAAAAACTGCATGTACACAGTACTCCACGATGCTACATGATTATATCAAAGCTGCTGGGATGAAAAACTGACATTTGATAAATAACATGAGGTCACCTCAAAGATCTCAGAACACTGCATGTAAAAATGTTATTTTGACAAGAAATTAAGCAATTGTATAATCAGGTCTATTATCAAATCTACTGCTTTGACACGATCTTATAAAAGTATGAAGAGCATGCAATTCCAATTGCTGCAGGATCCTCCCTCACTCGACACAAGATGTAGGCATTTAATATTCCTCTAGTTAGCCACGCATGTACAGCACAGCCTAACGCACTTCAAAGTATTTACTGTGCTGTATAAACACAGCGCTATTTTCAAAGCCTCATAACTGTCAAATCAAAGCTGGCTTTCACTAAAGCATTCAGAAGCATTTCTGCTGGATGGTGGCTATTTGCCTGACAGTTTCAACCTTCTATCCCCCAACCACAAGAAGGTTAATTTTTTTTTTGTATATATGCATATATATATACAATTATTATTTTCAAGAGGCAGAAGAAAGTGTTTACTTGCTAACAAGCTGTCAAATCATTTTGACCTGGAGTTTTTTACTTTCCTTCTCATACATACATATAAAATGTGGTGGAAAACTTCCATTCCACCAGCAGAAGTCCTGGAAAGTTTTTCCATACACATGCCTCAACTGTCCATTGTACCAGCTGTCCCTGTTGAGGCTGTGGCTGCTCACCTCAACAGGCTACAGTTTGGTTTTATATTACACTGCAAATACATTTCTAATCAATCCTCAAACAAATCCAGATTGGCACATAGATAAAACACTGCCGTTTTACAGGCAGTGGAACAGTGATATCAAGACACCTGAGGAAGTCAGTTTAGCAAAATGCAGAAAGCAGAGCTCCGAGCAACCTGAAAAATTGCCTGCACAGCTCTATCTTGCCCAGTGTTTTTATCAGTGAACCACTAAACCAGATTTTTTGTTCAGGTCTTCACAACTCTGTACACACTGCAAAGGTGGCAAAGATAGCTTGACACAACATACACAGGCAGACTCAGAGACTTAAAGCAATTTGTAGAGCGTAAGTAACGTGGTCAAATAGATAAATCACAGGCACATTAAGAGCCAAGCTCTGTTCTCAGGTTCGCCACCAAATCCAAGCAACCCTGGTTTTAAAAGAGCCCATGGGCCCCAGCCACCCTGCTGATAAGGTAAAACAGATATCTGCACCCTTTGTTCAGAAGGCAGAGAGGACAACCACAGGCACACGGAGACCATCCAGTGACAAGGTGGGTCAGTGATTTAAAGCTCTCTTGCTCTGCTACTATGAGACAGAGCCCCACCAGAAAGCCAAGGAGGAGAAACACAGCGGCACTGCTTTCTTAAGAGGCCAAAGAGCCATGAAAACAAGACACCAGCTCAGAGCAATTGCCAGTGCTAGGAGTTGAACAGGCAGCTGTGTGGCTATCTGTGCCTGAACAACAACTGCTCTGAACTCAACACAGAAAACGGCAAGCTCTCCCTCGATTCCATATGCAGCTAAATTATTGTGTGTATCATCCACTCTTTATGCCATCGACTGCACCACTAAGGAGTACTTAAAACCAGCATTGTTTTCAAGGCAACAGCACCCAATTTTCAGTGAAATCTTAGAGGACATTTCTCCATCTTTCTTTGTTGAAAGAAATCATGTCAGTGGTAAAAGGCACTTCCATTTTTCCTTCCTGCAAAAGGATTTCATTGATTCTGCTTAGGCTTTAAAAAACAAACAGGCCAACCACCTTACAGTTCCACTGTTCATCTCCCTTCCCTATTCCACAAGCATCTTCTAGGAGGCCAAACAAGGAAAATCCCACTTCTGCTTTTAAGCCTGTCTGAAAAAAAGGATCTCTCCAAAGACATAACATTCATTCTTCAAATACAGTTAACTGCAATTTCATAACAGTATTTAAAATAAATTCAATTAAGTGTTGTCAAAGTAGATCAAAATCAGAGTACTCAGACTCAACTCTGCAAAAGAACAGGCAAGAACAACCCACAGAAGTAGGAATAAAGAAAATGTAGAAAGTTGTGAAGCAGCAGTTCACTTCATCACAGCCACAGTTTAGTAACTCAGACCAGATTTCAGGATGGTTCACCAGGATCCAACCAGAAGCCTATGGCACATCTCATACACTGGTTCTCAATCAAGTTTCCAGAGAGGAGTGTGAGAACCCTGCAGCAAACCCAGGCACAACAGGCTATTCCATCCCTCCCTTTTTCCAATATAGAAGCACAACTGCTAGGGCAGAATAAAAAGGAAGGTTTAGACCACATGCTTAATACCTCTTCCAAAATTTCTACTGTCACTGATTACGATAATTGAATATTCTTCATATTCTTAAAGACATCTGATACTTTTTAACTCTTGTTGAATTCTTGCTCCTCAGCAAGATTCTCACAGCATGAGTTTCACTGCTTAATTGCAACCATACTAAACAGTCTATCGTCAATTTACAGAACATGTTCTGTATCATCAGAAAGTCTTGAGACAGCAGAAACTCTTCCATACTCCACCACACTCTTCTGTTGGCCCTGCTTAAAGCTTCTTAAAGAGGGCTTCTCTTTTGATACTTTGCATATATGTTCAGAGATGGCTTTTGGCAAAAATAACAAGGTAAGCTGGAGGAACTGTTCTCAGGCAAGGGAAGCTGTAACAAACAGGTGTAAAAAACATTTAGCAAGCTTAGCAGACTCTTAAGGGTATAGTTAGATGAGCATTCCTTTTGGCAGCAATGCCAGCTTAGAGAACTGCTGCTACCAATATTTACTCCCACCCCTGCACCACACTGTCTCTGATGTGCCTGTGGCCAAACAGCAAACCAGTTTGGCAAACTGATGCAGGCTAAGTATCACCATTTCTTTGCCAGGCTACTCCTAATCCAGATCAGCTCCCTGATCTGTTCCAGCATCCAGCTGCTCCAACAGCAGCACCAGCACACACAGGAGGGTGGTGCGGAGTCAAAACACATGAGCACCAAGGACTCCTCAAAACCCATCTCCAGCACTGAAGGAAGGGCTCACAGGAATAGGAACAGAGGGCAGCTTGGCCCACAGGTAAGGGTGCAGGCACAAAGCACACCCCTGCTTCTTCAAAAATACAAATCAAAAGTTAACACTGGAACAGTTCACTTGGGTTCAGCACAATAAATGTCACCTATTGTTGCTAACCAGCGTTTATGAGCCTGCATGGTCTTAAAGGCAACCCTTCAGCAATTTCCCAACAGATCTATTTTTTTTTCAAGTTCTTCAAGATTATCTGGACTTCCTAAATATGAATAAAGTTCCTGTTCTTCTGGACTTGTAGAGTCCCTACTACAAAGGACATCAAGCTCCAAAACAATTAAACTTTTAAAGCAGTAAAAAAAAAACCTAACAGACAAGTAAGGGTACGTAGGGGAAAGCTCTTTTAAATTCAATAGGCAGAGCGGTGCTTGAACAAAATTCAGCAATGAAATCGCCTTCCATTCACAAATTGCTCTGAAAAACTGAGTTAACACCTTTATTTTGCCAGCAGGAAGACTAGAGGGACTCCAGCAGAGCTTGTAAGCAGGAAATCCAAGCCCACAGCAAAACTTGATGGGTTAAAGGACTTCATATCTATGTAAACAGACCACAGGCCTTAGGGAGGCACAGAGATTTCTGTGAAGTCCAAGGCCACACAAACGAGTTAGAAGGATTTTATGAAGGCTGCCTGCATTGCTATGAAGAAACCCTGAAAAACTTCTACAAAGCAGAAGAGAAAAAAAGCCCTGCAAGGTAGCACAGTTCACATTTAAGATAGAAATTAGTTTGAATACTCACTTGAGTGTAATTGCTTCACAGGATAAACTTGTTGCTGTTTGGGGTTGGGGTTTTTTTCCTATTGAATTTATAAAAGACCAGCAAAATTCCTAAGCCATAGGCACAGTTTGTGAGGCAAGAGAATTGACAAAGCATGTCAAGAACTCAGAGGAAAAAAACAATATTTAGGAAGAAACATGTAGAAATAGGTATGGGAAGTCAATGTGCTGCAGAGCAGCAAGCCTTTGAATAGCTGGGAAATATGGATCAAAGGTACTCCATTCTTATCCACATCAAACATATAAACTGCTCAGAAAAGCTGTAGTATATGAATATTTTAGCCTTGTGGCTTACAGTCACCTCAGCTTCTATATTTGGATATTTGGTGACAAATGCAGTTTGGCTGTGGACTAACCCTAACTGAAAACAATCCAAGCACATGAACTGTAAAGATGAAATGCAAGATGGGGGGAAAGGAGGGGGAAAGCACAGGGAAGAAAGAGTCCACACCCTTTGTATTCATAATATCCAGAAGAGATCTACAAAGTTTCTGGTTGTATAACCAGAAACCTCTTTATTTTCTTTCACATTAAAATTCAGGTCCTGCCTAGCTTAGAAGATTGTGTTGACCAATAAACAAATTAACTGATCACAAGAGAGAAAAGCAAAATACCTCCCCAAAATAAACAAGGGGGGAAAAAAACCAAAAAAACAAACCAAAAAAAGCAACCTAGCACACAAAAAGATGATCACAACAGTATCATCATAGTCCAGCCACTCCCCCACATCAGAGTAATCACAGTTTCTCCCAGAACATCTTTAGACCTCTAGAAGCTAAATAATCTGCATTGGGAAAACTACACTGAGAAGTCATAAACAGAACTTTTACCAAACACTGCAAAAACCAAGTGCACAGGCACAAAACTACATCCCCAAAAGAATTTATCACGTTAACCTGACCAAAGATGAGCAGCTGAATGGGAGGGTGACTTACACAAAACCTTGTTTAGGGTGGGTTTTTTTTTTTGCTTGGTTTTGTTCACACTTATTTAACGTCAATGATTGATTAACATTTTGGATAAAGGAGGTCTTTGTTAGTGATTCAGCATCTCCACCCCTTCAATTAAGGTGTTAAGAGTTCACACAAGTGCAGTGAGACCCAAGATCCCCAGACCCCTCTCCACAATAAAATCCCGACCTCCCCAAAAAAAACAGATTAAAAAACAAAATCAAAAACAACACACACTCGCCCTACTGAGAAAATTCCAAAATCCCAAAACTAACATTGTTGCTAACTCCAAGTCAAAAAAAGAAAGATGCCATTCTTTTGTTGTTTGAGGAGAGGCCAGCAAGGGAGACAGGGAAAGAATATGAGCCCTTGAGCCATTTTTATGCACTGAGTAAGAAAAAAAGGACACATTCATTAAAAATAATCTCTTTGGAGATCACTGTTAAAAGAAAAAAAAAATCCACACCGCGTAACAGAGCCATCATGCCAACTTGTCCAAAATGGCTATAAAACACCGGGAAAACAATCCCTGTAGTTCAGGCAAGGAAAGAGATCCCTGTGCCATGGGATGCAGGCGTGTGCACTCGTGCAAGCACAGCTCCTCTGCCGTGGGATGGACACAAAACCACTCCGTGTGTGTGCCCCTGACCAACTTCCCCAGTTCCACACCTGTAACACCCCACTTCAGCCAGAAATTGGCCATTACAGACCTCATAGGAAGCAGGAGAGAGGTAAACAAAAAGAAGTGGGAATAAAACTGTTTAAGTATGTTAATTCTTTCATTTGATTTCACATAATGCCTTGCCTAGCTTTCCAACGGTTGTTATTGTAATATCTCAAGCAATCACTGATCAAATAATCCAACAAAACAGAAGAAAAAAAATCTGCATTACTTTTTTGCAGCATGCTTTTAAAGCTTGATACATTTAAGGATGCTTCAGAGCATCCTATGTCTGTGTGGGCTTTTCACAGAGAAATCAAGGACAAAATACTTTCAAGGAAAATAAAAATGTAACTGGAACCCCTAAAAACAGAGAGAGCTGTCTCCCCCGCTTCCTCCAACTGTGTTTTGACAGAAAAACAACCAGTCACCAACAAGGAGGCTTAAGGAGACAAACTTCACTTGGCACAACCCTTTCTTCTCTGCCCAGACCAAGGAGGTGTTTCTTTAGCAGATAAGGGCTACCAGGTAAGATCTGCTGTTCCTCTCCCAAAAGTAAGGTTCATGGTTATTTCCAGACCAGCTTCAGAGTCCATGTTAGGTTTGGCATCTGAAGAATAAAAGCATCTTCCCTTTCACCTTGGTGGGCTTTTAATCACTCCACAACCAGCTCCCATCTGACACTTACTTCATTCTTTCATTGCTGCATGACAATTTTCTGATTTCTCATGTAGTTTACTATTAAACCACTAATCATGTAATCATCCCACCTTAATATTTTACACCCAAATAGCAACCCACAATTGACTGTCACATCAGATTCTTCCCATCTGTCTCCTCATGCTTTGTCTACCTTCCCTGAGTAAAATCCACCTTTCACATCCCAAACACTCCATCTTCAGAGGCCTTTTCAGACCCACCACCTACACAGAGAACTTGAGGACATGGAGCTGGACAAGACAGAAATACAGGACTGCCTCTCATCCTGGAAGTGGAGCCTTGCTGCCCTGCATGCATCTCTCTACCTGTCCCAACATTTTCCTAAGCATTTGGAGTCTCCACTGTTCATTTTTTTCTCATCATCCAACCCTTAACCTCATGAAACTTCAGATTTAGTCTCCCATCCCCCTTTGCAGCCAGCCAGAGTATAGACTCCCTCTCGTGCACACACACACAGAGCCTCTCCTCTACCTAGTAGGAATTCTTCCAAACAAACACATTTCCCCTGCCTTGACAGATACTGCTCTTCCCCACAATCCCCATATACAAGCTCCCCTCCCACACTTAGTATCCCACCTACAGTTTGATACTAACAGCTTAGCTTCCCTAAATTTCTGCTCCCCTGATCTATCTACTCTGCTTCCCAGCTCTGGAGCCCTACAATTTCCCTCATGACCATGTGCACCACCTCCCTCATGCTGAAAGCACTTCCTACCCCATAATATTTTGGCTCCCGGTGGTTCCCCAATCCCACTCCCGTATCTCTTTCTTACAATGACTCAAGTCCCAACTCCTCACATGGTCTCCCCTTCGTGTACCACTCTCCCCAGCAAACCTCATACTTGTTTCTTCATCCAGCTCTCCACATTTTTTCCTGCAGATGCCCATAGTTCAGTACTTCCTGCACCACAGCCCTCCATGTGAGCCTTCCTCACAGCACATCCCAGGTGATCTAATATCCCACACACCATCTCCCACCCTCTCACTGCCTGTTTCACCTTGTATTCCACTCCCTACATCCCTACTGTGGATCTCTTGTGCCCCAGCCCCTCACTTCAGCTCAACCACAGAGTTCACAGCTCCCACCCCGCTTTTACACCAGCTTCTTTCTCCTAAGACAGTCTTCGCTCCCAGTTCAACAGCCCCTCCCATCCTATGTCCCAGCTCCTCACCGAGACTGGAATCTCTAGTCCACCAACACTGTCCTCTACAGCACGGCCCGAAGGCACTTCCACACACCTCAGGGCAGCACAGATCACCCCAGGGCTGCACCCCACAGCACAGCCCCAGTGCCCCCAGCACAACCCAGAGCACCTCACGCACTCCTCCACACAGCAGAGCCCCAGCACATCCCCCGCACCACCGAGCATCCCACACATCCCTCCATGGAGCACAGCTCTTGGAGCATCCCGTGCACCACACTGCGACTCAGGACAGCCCACACATCCCTCCTCCCAGCACATCCCCTATGGCATCCCATACATTCCTCCATACGCCACAGCCCCCGGGGCATCCCCTGCACCACAGCTCGAGGCACAGCATTCCATGTGCCGCTCCATGCAACCTCCAGGGCTCCCAGCGCACCCCAAAGCACCCCACACATCCCAAGGAGCACAATTCCCAGAGTATCCCCTAAGCTTCACACATCCCTCCGTGGAGCACAGCTCCTGGAGGATCCCCTGCTCCCAACACATCCTCCAGGCAAACCCTGCTCCCCACACACCCCATGGAGCACAGCTTCCAGAATATCCCCCATGCCCCACACCTCCTTCCATGGAGCACAGCTCCTGGAGGATCCCCTGCTCCCAACACATCCCTCCATGGAGCACAGCTTCCAGAATATCCTACATGCCCCACACCTCCTTCCATGGAGCACAGCTCCTGGAGCATCCCCTGCTCCCAAAACATCCCTCCGTGGAGCACATCCTCCAGGCATCCGCTGCTCCCCACACATCTCTCCAAGGATCACAGCCCCACAGGCACCCCCTGCAACCCCGGAGCTCCCCTCGCCGCCTCCTTTGGGGCACCGCCGGGACCCCCCCAACTCCCGAACTTGGGGCGGGCGGTGCGGGTGCCGGTGCCCGGTGCCCGCCCCGCACTCACCGCGCTCAGCCCGGGGCCGGCGGGGGCGGCGCGGCGGCTCCGTCCCCCTCCCGCACACACACACAGGCTCCATTGTCCGCCGGCGCCTCCCCCCCCCGCTCCCCGCGCACATGGTACCGCCCAGCGCAGCCCCTCGCGCCCGCTCCCCCCGCCCGCTCCCCCCCCCGCCTTTTCCCCACACCGGCTCTTTCCCCCCCCCCCGCGCCCCCCCTTCCGCCGCGTCCCGCAACCCGCGGAGAGACGAATGGTACCGCCCGTCGCGCGCGCCCCGCCCCGGCAATGGTACCGTCCGGTACTCACTCGGCCGGCGGCGGGACCGCCTCTCGCTCCCCGCGCCGCGCAGTGGTCTCGCCCGGCCCTCCCGGCCCGCCTCTCCCCAGCCAGAGGGAGGGGACTGCAGCCCTTCCCCCTTCGCCGCACGGTGGTACCAGCCGCGCTCTTAAAGAGACAGGCTTCCCTCGGCCTCGAGGCCCCGCCCCTTCACTAACATAGCCCGGCCCTCGCCCCGCGGCGGCCACGCCCCCTCCTCCCCTTTTAAAGAGACCACGCGCCCGGGGCTCTTCTTAAAGGGGCCGCCTCCCCCGCCGCCCACCCCCACCCCAAACTCCCCTCC